AAAAAGCTTCAACTTATTACAGTGATGAGATTTTGAAAAGATATTTGGCACATATGTAGTGCTAATATAGCTCTATAAAGTTGTCAGTCAGATTTTTTTAAAACCTCTTAAATAAAAAGTTATAGCCATTTAAAAAATTGAAACACTTCATGTAATTGTTGAGTATAGACTTCCTGCACCATATCAAAATTTTGACCATAAAGATAATTAGTATCTGACGACAATCCCTTGTCCGTTGACACTGGTAAACACAATTTGACTAAATTAGCAAGTAAATAATTACTATATTTATGAATTCTTGATATGCAGCACTTGAAAAACCTGAACTATCCATTTTATTATCGTCACTATGCTCACTTTCATCACTCTGCAATTCATCAACTTCATTCATGATCATGTTGCAAGTAATATTTTGGTCTGAAATCTCTTGACAATCGAATTGGTTAAATTCATTAATGATTTCCTGATCATTAAATACTAGATTCGATCCACCAGCGATGCTTTGGGTATCAAATATTGAGTTAGACTCATTATCGCTTTCTTGATCATCAAATATCAAGTCATCAACATGTTTGCTTATAACATCTAATTTGTCAAAACCATAAGAATCAGTACTGATATTGACCTCATCATCAATATGATGATAGTCATTTTGTCTGCTTTTAATATCCAATTCATCAGAACTATAAGTATCCATGCTGGTATCAGTTTTGCCTTCTATATGATAATAATTTTGTCTAATTATATTATCAAATTCATCAGAATTATAACTATCCGTACTAATATTGGTGTCATCAACTTGGTAGCGATTTTTATGGACCTTTTTGTGATTTTTAAGGCTCATTAGTTGGCTAAATTTTTTACTGTACACACCACAAATAAACATGCTATAAAATAAATAAAATCAAATAAAAAAATAAAAAAAAAGTAAATAAATAAAATAAATAAAAAAATGAAAAAAAATGAAAAATAAAAATAAAAAATAAATTAAATCAAAAAATACAAACACTTTTGCTTTTATATCTTAGTTGAATAGAAGCTTACTGCAATACAAATAGAAGTCTTGAAACTGTGTACTATCAGTAAAATTCTCTTTATCTTCTAGCTTTTTTGTTTTATTACAAAGCAAGTACTATAGTAAGTATTAAAATTTTTTTCCTATATATAGTGTATTTTAACTTTAATTATATAATCGATCCATGCATCGTACCCCTTAATTTAATATCTGAAATCATGATCGTAATTAGGATCAAATATTCTAGATTAGTGTATTATAGGAAATAATGATGCTTTATGAAATCATAATGATCAGTCGAATGTTCTAACATGTTACATGAATTAGTTTCAGAGTTATTCTATATAAATACTTTTTTTGTTACTTTTCTTTACTATTCTTTACTACTTTTTACTATTCTTTGCTACTTTTTACTATTCTTTGCTACTTTTTACTCTTCTTTGCTACTTTTAACTATCATTATATCTTTACCTTTTATAAAGCATTACTAGTTTCAAGTTGTCAATTTAATATAAATTTTTTATTCTTCGCTACTTTTACTATCTTTGTATCTTTACTTTTATATAGCCATTATAGTTTCAGGTTGTTATCAACCATAAGAGAATTCGGATTTTAAATAAGTCTATGGGGTGCCGTGTTTAAATACGTTACGCTTACCATACTTGAATATGTTACTAAAAAGGTTTTTTTTATTTCATTTTAAAATAACAAATTTTAATTGAAAGTTTTGTAATTTTTTTTAAACATAAAAAAGAAGCTGCACACACAAATTTATCATTAATTTCTACATTATTACTTCTTGAAGACACTAAACGATGAATGCAAAATAACTAAAGCCGTCTAATCAAATATTTTTACGAAATATAATCTTAAATAGGTAACACAATGACAAGTAATATCATAAACAGGTAACACAATTAATGACAAGTAATTTTCCTTGATACTATATCTTAAATAGGTAACACAGTCAACAAGTATTTTTCTTGATTTTAATTTATAATTTGTACATTGTTTTATATATTGCATAATCTGGTATGTACGTACACTTTTGTTATTTGATATGTAATTAATATTTAAATCATTATTAAAATTCAAAGCACTGATTATTATAATTTTTTAGATCTTAAATATTTTAAAAACGCTTCTTTTAATATAATATAGGTCGAAAACGGAAAGTGAACCGCAACGAAACGAAGTTGATTCAGTAATTATTAAAGCTTGAATTTTTTAATTGTTAACAAATTTTCTAAGAGGTTTACTACTTTCATTTCAGGCACTAGATGCTCTATGATCTAATCTATCCACTCCTATTGTAAAAAAGCCACGAAGTGCAAATAAACTTACTACTCAACTCCATAATATCGACGTCAACAATATCGATGACAATATTCAAAACTCGCCTTACGAAATTACCAAAAGTCCACACCGATCCCCTCTCAATGAATCTTTTACTAATAGGTTAGAAAACTTGTCAGTTGTTGCAGAAAATGGTCAGTCTTGGAAATATAATAACGATTTATGTGATTTTAAACTGCAAGTACTAACTTTGAACTGAAATAGCTTCGAATGAAGAAAATAAAATGATGAAATCAATATTAGAAACAACTAAACAAGTATTGATGCAAAATATTTCAATCATAGAAAAACAAACAGCTCTTGAGGGTATGATTACTCAATTAGCCTGTGATGTCAAAGCATTACAAACTTTACATGAAAATTTCAAGTCAAATATGGGAGATCGTAATCACGAATGGTGGCAGATATATTCCAATTATACTGACAATGCTATTATATAGGATCAATTTTCTGTTCATGTAGTTGGTTTTCATATAATTTTGTTATATTATACTCAATATCTCTAACACCAACCTGAACTCCATCAGTTTTCGTTAGTTCTGGCATTGCCAATAATCAAGGACACAATCACATGGCTTTCCTATTAATCTTTTTGTATTTATATAATCAACATTTTATTATATAACCAGCCTTCTATTATTGGTGACACTAGGACTTTTCCAATTTTCAACTTCATTTAAATCAGAATTTGTTTATTGAGTGGGTTATAAGTTTGTTAATAAGATTTTTACTAATAATTGGTTAGATTTTTATTAATATCGGCTTGATTGACCATAATTCTGATAAATGGCATCTAAAAAAATTTTTTTATTAACTTAAAAAGGAGCGACGCAAGGTATCAAAAATGCTATAGATAATTGGCTTTATCCCAATGATAAAATCTATGAGCAGGCTATTCGAAAAGAACTTGAAACTCTTTGTCCTGACAAAATGGTCTGGTATAAGAGTAATTCCAAATAGGAGGCGTTGTTTACTAAGATCAAAAATTCAGTAATTAATTTATTATACTTATAATTATAATTTTTTTTTTTTTATGGCATATGGTGTACGAGTATAATTTTTTAATAACCTTAACCTAAATTTAATTATATATTAGCACTGAATCCTGCAAATACTGTGGTGCTTTATTTGGATCCTTTTGACGTGCTATATTTGATCATGTTTTTAAAAAAAAAATTTCGCTGGCTGTTAATTCGGAAAGTTCAGAATCTGAAATAACTGCTTGGAAAGAGAGCAAAGAAGTCTAATGGTGTTTGAAAAACTTGGATAATATGATCGAAGAAGAAGACAAGACATATCTTCAGATGGTTGCAAAAAAAGTATTTGGTCGACGACCTTCTCTAAACTAATATGCAGTAATACAGGCTATTTTACATAATTTATTTGATCCTAAACTTGTCAAAATTAAATTTGACGAAAAATATTTAACGCGTAAATTGAATATTTTCTTGGTAAGTATATGTTTAATATTGGAGTTCTGCTAGTATTGGTATAATATATTATAATGTTAGGCATTGTTTATAGTTTAACAGTGCTATACTTGGTACTTGTTGCTATTGATAATATTACCGATATATATTTTAATCATATTATTATATAATTTATAGCAAAATCATGATGAAGATGAAGAGAATCAAGAAAATAATGAATCAAGTGAAACTGATATCGAATGAATATTATGCTGCTATATATTTGAAATTTGCATTAATTCTGTGCAGGAGTAGTATTTAAAAAATTATTATTTAAAATTTACACATTTATACTTTAAGTAATAAATTTAAATAAAACATTATTTATAAATTTATACGAGCATTAATTTAAATAAATATATATTAAATAAAAATTATATAAATTTTATATAATTATACAGATAAATTTTGCATAAATAGTATTTTGTTAAATGTTAAATAAATATTAAATAAATGTTATCTATAATTCTATATAATTAAATAAATAAATTGTATATAAATTATTATATTCGTATGTTTTAAATAACTATTAAATAAATATTATCTATAAATTTATATAACTATCTAAATAAATTTTATATAATTGTTACATTTTTTAAATTTTAGATAATTATTTAATAAATATTATTTAGAATTATATTTATATATAAATTATAACTATATAAGTTTACATTGGGTTTATAGACTTATGTATAATTTTTAAATACACTGTACATAAAATATTTATATAACTCTATTTAAAAACAACTTTGTGATGTTGTTCTGCCTTTCGTCAAGGATTTCACCAAGGTTTTGCCGTTTCGCCAGGGGATTTCGTATTTCGCCGGTTCGATCCGAGCTCAATTTCAAAGTATTGCTTGACATAATGGAAGCACCTATCTTTGACACAATCATAATTGATCATGGAGTGAATCAATCATAATTCAAGATCCCTAATGAATAACTAAACGTTAAGTATTATCCTTTTTCTTTCATAGTTTAACTAATGCTAATTAATTTATAAATAAATTTTTTATTTTTTCTTATTATAATTACAGTTCTTTTACTCTGCAACTTAACTGCATATCTAGTTATTTAAAAAAGATTTATTAACTTTATATACATTAGTTTTCCATATACTGTATATTGAATACTCTATTTGACAAGTTTATTTTCTTTGAATTTGGAATACTTCGTATTCTGTTACAGAAAATCTACTTTTCGTATTTCTAAGTGCTTTTTCATACGAATGTTTATTACAGACACTTCCACCATCTTGCTTAAAATTGCCCGTCATCTCAAGATCACCATAAACACATCGATTACCACCAAAACATGGACCATAGTTTGAACTAGAATAAATTGCATATTTTGGACTTTTTACACGACTTAAGCAAGAGGAAAGAATAGTACCATTTTTCAATGAAAAAATAAAGCTGTCTTTGCAATATACACCACGACTAATTGATTGATCCCATTCTATAGCACTATAACCACCAAGAATTTCATCGGTATTGTTAACTTTCATGACTACAACAGTATTTTTCTGTTTATCACAAATTTGCCAAAATGATTCTTTAGTGAAACCATCTCTGGTCCCACGAAGAAGTAATTTAAAATCATATGGATTATTTGCTACCGAATATGGCTCGGTTTTCCTATCAACCCATGAGGCAATTTCGGCAGCATGTTCTTCACTAATAACCATTGAAAATAGTTTCTTTGTACGTGATGGTAATTTTGGTGTTAAAACTATACGAGGTGGAAGAATTGTTGATGATATCTGTCGATTTTGATTTATAGCCCTTTTCATTATATCATTCCAAAGAAGCATAGCGAACATTCATTGTGATTGGCTAGATTTTGTTGATCATGTGATTTTATTTGCTGATCGACCAATCAAATTGTGAGATAATCGTTGATGATCGTAGTATAACGACGGATATGTAA